CCTGCAGCCCCAGGAGTGCTTCGCCCGGCACCGGGGTGGGGGAGTGGGTCTCTGGGCAGTGGCGACAGCGCGTTCTGGTCTAACGTGGCTTCAGCCGAGCTGCCCGTTCCCAGCAGCACTGCGGGCGCGTGTCCGGTGGCGTGCCAGGACCTCGAAACGTGTCATGCAGGGAATGAAAATAAACTCGGGCTTTGCTGTGGGTGTTGATCCGGCTGTTCGCGATCTTCCTTTGGTAACTGGTTCTGTGAACGGAAGCTGCCGTTTTCATGGCCAGAACTGGTCCCAAAACACGTTGGTCAGCTCCCGAAAGCCGTGCCCTTGTTGTGCACCTCGCCCCACTTCCCCGCTCCGATACGTGAGACTAATGGCCGTGTGAGCACTGAGAGAGCGGTACGTGAGCTGCTGCTCTTTGTTACCTAAACAAGTAGAAGAGTATCTGTAAGAGAATCTTAATTAAAACTTACTTTGTAGGATAACTGGGATGATGAGGAGGAAGAGGAAGAAGTAAAGGAGGCGGAGATAAAACAAGGTAAGACTTAAGAGGAACGCGTGGCTCTGTCCGCAGCATCGGAACAGGCTCTGGTTTCGTCTTGAGTGTATCTGAAGAACCAAACCCGTGTAACGGGGCTGGGTCTGGTTCTGGCCAAGCGTGTCTTCAGCTCGCCGTGTTCAGGCTCCAGCCCCTGAGCTCTGTGGCTTTCTCTTTGCTCAGTGTTTCTACAGCTGCTGAAAAAAACTCTGCAGACCTCTTGAGTGCTGTGTTGTTCAATGTCTTACAGAACCAAAAGTTTCAGAAAAAAAGAAAATAGCAGAAAAAATAAAAGAAAAAGAAAAGCTACAGAAGAAAAAGCAAGAGGAGCTTAAAAAAAGGGTAACTCCTCCTTTCTTCTGGGTCTCATAAAATTGAGAGGGCAGGTGTGGCTTGGGTTGTTGAGGCTGAACAAGAGCTGTAAGGGTCTCGACTGGTCGGACAGAACAAACTGAGGTCTTGTACGTAACATCTGGAGGATGTTGGCTTTAACTTCTCTGTACCTCAAAAAAATGCTTCTCCCGGTTTCTTTTGCACGCACCGCGTGATAGCACACGCAGTCGTGACACTCAGAACCAGAGCGTTTCTTCCCGCTTGGTGTAAGATGAACAGTTTGTTAAACAACGGGCGTTGTGGCGCTTCACGGCGAGGGTGTTCGGGGCGGCCCGTGCTCGAGGTGTCCTGGTGCCGGGCAGCAGCGAGCCGCTCGGTGGCACTGGGAAAAACTCAGTTTCTCGTTCCGCCCCTGCTCAGGGTAAGCAACGTGACGTTCTCCCATATCTGTTCTTGTCGCAGTTAGAGGCACCAGAGGAACAGAAAGAACTTACACCAGAAGAACAGTTAGCAGACAAACTACGACTAAAGAAATTGCAAGAGGAGTCGGACCTTGAGTTAGCAAAAGAAACTTTTGGTAAGTGCTGCGCCCAGCCGAGCCAGGCAGTGCCACGGGAGCAGCCCAAAAGCGCTGTGGCCGCTGACTGCAGCCGGGTTCGGAGCGG